CCCCCACCCAACACACACCCAGAAAATGGAGGAAACACAGAAAGAATCCATCAAATCTGCATCCGAAGAGATCTCCAAAGAATTCAAAACCCTAATCAATTCTCAGGATTTGGATTCTTTGAAGCAATTGCAAAACCTCATGTACTTCTCTCTTTGCAACCTCTCATTCATTCAATTTTTTTTTCTTATATATAATTTTCCTTGGAACATATCTGATGATAGAAGCTGTTCAATTTTTTCCTGAGCATGAGATAAAAAGTCAATTTTGTTTCTTGACTGCTATTTTGTGAAGTATCAGATGTATCTGAACTTGTATTCATTTTTTACTCTGTTCAGTTCTTCCTGAGCATAGTATCTGCTACGTAGGCATTGCCCCATTAGGCTATACAGTTTTGGGTGGACCCAAGTTCGGTCTTTTTATTCTTGCTTTAGATTCAATCATTGACTTATTATGGTCAGAGGTGTTTAATTGTTAAACCAGCGTTTGGTCACATATGGATATTTTTTAATAATTGGTAATGAGAGGATTAGTTGCTAGTGATGTGATTAGTTGATGGATTTGTGCGTTCTGTGTGCATTCGGTAAACCGGTCTCTAGTCTCATACAGAGGCGGATCTAGGATTTAAACTTTATGGGTTCAACCTTTAAGGTTTTAAGTATCGGATACATTGTATTTTTATAGTTACGGTTCATATCTACATAAATTTATGCTTTGTGCCGAAAGTACTAGGTTCAAATGAACTGCTATGCTACATCCGCCCCTGGTCTCATAGATGATGAGTTCTAGGTGTTGTTCCATCAACTTAGAACCAGCCTTTGGATGAATAAGTAATTTCTAAATATCAGTTTTATTACTTAATACATTATAAGCTTTCCAAATAAACATTGGCATTACATGGGCAAATGTTCAGTGGGTGCGGCAGCATTTCAAAAGCCAAAAGTTTCAATCTTTGCAGAAAAACACTATCTTCCGGAGTTGTTGAGTCTAGAAGGAAAGCAGTTTTACCATTTGTAAGAATTAGATCCACGCATGCACAAGTTTCTCTCTTTTTATGAGAATTAAGCTGTCAAAATTAGGATCCAAAAGCTGTATTATCATTTGATTAGAGAAATTTTCCTTGAGAAGCTTTATTTCAGTCACTTATCAAGAAAAAAGAAAAGAAGAAAGAAGTTGAGACGATGCTTAGTAGCATAAAGTTGGAAACTCCTATTAAAGTTGCTGCCAAGAAGCCGTAACACACCTTATGTCTTGTTTGAAGCTCTGACTTCTGCTTGAGATATGCTGCCTCTCGAACTTGCTTAAAGCATGGTCGATTTTGCATTGGTGCACTAAAGAAATTAGTTCTTGTAGTACTTTTCTACCGGTTGTGATTAGGATGTGGTCATGAATATCAGCCTGTTCTGGAACTCTTCGGAGCTGCCACCTCCTTTAAACTTAACTTTCTGCCACCTTTGTGATAGCTATTTGTCATAATTCTGGAAGAGGTTTTTTACCATGTAATTTATCGGTTCGTTCAGTACTTTTTGTTCATTGTCTTTCTTGGTGCCTTTTTCCACGATTACCTTATGTCTTGTACACTCAAAATGCAGATTGGGACGTTTGCAGGACAGCAATGCAGTTCTTTCGCACTTCAATGAGTATTCAGAGCATTGTTTCACAGAGGTCTCGGCAGATTTCTCTAGAAATACACGTCTCTTAAAATCTATGAAGTCAGACCTTGATTACATATTTCAGAAGTTGAGGTATGGCCATCCTTTTCGTCCTCTTATTATCCTCTTCTTTCTGAA